AGTAGGCCGGTGCAGAAATGGGGAGTGAGTGGTCAATGGATACAATAGAACATTTAGCAGAAGGAATAAGTTCTACTGTTCTATGGTATAGTATGGTGCTTGTAGTTGATAATAACACACTTTATATTTCAAAATGATATTAATGGGGGATTTTGTTTTGGTTGAAGAATTGGTGGATTTTAAGGTTATGTCTATACTTATATACTGATTCCATAATTACACAGTATCTGCATTACCCAAAAGCTTACATTGCATTCTACATATACTGCACATATATACAACATATATTCCACATATATATGTACAATCATTATGCATGAATCAGAAATAAAATCAAATAACTTTTTGAATTTTTTTTTTATTTGAAAGAGTTACAGAGAAAGAAGCGACAGAGAGAGAGAGAGTGAGTGAGAAAAAGAGAGAGAGAGAGGTCTTCCATCCGCTGGTTCACTACCCAATTGGCCACAACGGCCAGAGTTGCACTGATCTAAGGCCAGGAGACAGGAGCCAGGAGCTTCTTCCAGGTCTCCCATGTGGGTTTAGGGGCCCAAGAACTTGGACCATCTTCTACTGCTTTCCCAGGCCATAACAGATTGCTGGATCAGAAGTGGAGCAGCCAGGTCTCAAACCGACACCCATATGGGATACCAGCACTGCAGATGGCGGCTTTAGCCACTATATCACAGCTCTGGCCCCTGAAATAACTTAAAATATGGATATTATGGAGTAAAGTATAGTTTATGTGATTAAATTTAGATTTTTATAAGTATCATCATGGTAACAGTAAAAACCTATAGATGATAAAAGATAAAAAAAGTAAGGCATCAAATCATATCACTAGAGAAAAATTATACAATCTCAAAGGAAGGACGAAAGAAAAGAACAAAGAAAGGAAGGATCTACAAAACAACCAGAAAATAATTAAGAAAATAATTAAAGTAACAAAGTAGGAAGCAGTAACTTCCTACTCCTGAATGCCATCCAAGCATCCATCAAATCTATTATGGTTCTGTTTCATTACTTACCCTCAGTTTTTCATTGCCTTCTACTGTATGTGGAATGACTAGGAGAGTACAAGGATAGACTTCTATGTCCTCATTTGTGTGAAGCAACTAGTTTCCCTTGTTAACTAAAATTGAGTGCACCATGGTGATTTCTTCTTTCTTGTTTTAACAACTGGGGAGCTCAACCTAATTGTAGGATGGTGGTTAGTACCCACTTAAAATGTGAAATAATGACTTTTTCATTGGTGGAATCAATCCTTCTGTGTGCAAGAAGTTTCAAAACATAACAGACTCAAACCTACAAGGACATGAATCAAAAATATTCAAGAGGATTATGGTGCTAATATCATATGGAATATGTAACATATGCAATACGTTATCACATGTAATCATTACATGAGCCACTCTGACTTCCAGGTTATATTCACAGATTGGTTTAATCTGACTATAGGGGAAAGTGTGTTGAATTAGGTAAAGCTCTTGTCTTAAATGTATATCAAACAATATGGGAATGCACACCACTGTTTTGTGTTGTCACGTGTCTTTCAGGTGGTATGATCACAGAGATTTCAGCAGGTCATTCTGTCATTTCAGACAGGATCGAATAGGACTCACAAAATCAAGTTTCTCTCCACTTGACATGCATACATCTCCAGTGGGACTACATATGTTTCTCTAGCTCCAGTCCAATCAAAAGTAAAGTGTATCTATACCATAACTACACTCATTGCCAGAGTCATCCAATGCAACTGACATGTGCATTCTTGGCATGGTAATAGTGAGCCATGCTGCCATTTGAATGTGTCGTGTTCAATTGAAGCAACAGTGCAATCGCAGAACACTAGGCCTTGTGCAAATAGAGCTGCTGTGTGCCAAAACAACACCGACACCATTGCATCTCCCGACCTGTAAAACCCATTGTCCAGCCCCCCTCATTGAACCAATTTGTGGAACCTCTTCCCACCATGCTGTCTGCCCTGTGCTCAAGCAAATAGGATCTGATAGAACTTGTCCAGGTTGCCTATTGTCCTTTTGCCACTATTCATTGAAAGGGAATCAAAGAACCTGAGTCAAGGTCAGTTGTTTCATATCAGATGTTTCTGAAAAGCGAGAAAAGTTTAGCGATTTGTCCATGGCCACATAACTATGATGTGCTATAATTTTAATTAGAGGTAATTTTTGTGCTATTTCATGAGAATGAAAAAGGTTTTTGTGAATTCTTTCAGAACTGTCCTGTAAACATAATATATCTATATCCGTGAAGACAAATCATTGTCCACTTCATGAGTAACTATGTGACTCTAATAACTCTGACACCAGATATCTGAGTCTCTGGTACCACCAGTTCTTTACTGGGCTCTCTGCAGTGACTTGCATTGATGTTAGGCTGAACATTTTACCACCCAGGTGGCTAGATCAACTCCTGTGTGTATAAATCCATGTTCTTGAGTTCACATGCAATATTTGTTGATCATTAGCAATAATAGGGATATTGGCTCATTTAGCAAGTACTGGGGGCTTCAAAGAATTTACCAATAATTAAAGATGGTTCAGTTTGTCAACTGGATCAACAGGAGTCTTCTCATTTATGTCTGTTTGGCATTTGTGTGGACATAAATATCTTCACTCATTATGCCCTCTGAGAGATGTAAACTCTAACTTTTCCCCACACTTCTGGCATAGAAATGTTGGAATTAAGTTGCCCATCTCAATCAAGCGAGTTGTAGTAGTGTTAAATATCTTATTTACTTTGGTTCCTGTTTCTTTTGTATACCTGAAATCTACCTCTATTTGATAAAAAAATAGTTGATGGATATTGTAAGGCTAGCTGAATATTAAGTGCCACAGTTACTTATGACCAAGAATAAAGTATACAATGCAAAGTATCATAGCTATCACTCTCTTCTCCATGTGAATAAAGGAAAAACAGAGTTGAAGACAGGAAAAGAACAAAATAAGAATGACCTTTGAATTATAATTTTGTAATCAATGTAAAAATCTTGAAATCTTTTTCTAAATCCATTTATAAATGTTTTCTGTAACAAAATCTGCAAAAAACACTAATTATTCTTTAACTAGAGGACTTTCATAACTCATGATTTTTAAAAATAATTTTAGTGAAAAGAAAAATAACCAAAGAAACAAATGCTTATATACTTACATACATATACATGTGTATACTTATAAGTATATTGGAAAGCCCTTAAATATGTTAGGATCTGAAATTAAGCTGATAATTATTTTTATTCAGTGAAATTAGATATAAAATGGCATTCAGTGTTGTATCCTGAGTTATTTAAATTACATAAATATTTCTTTTTCAGGTTCTTGGGATTTCAACTTTTGGCCATCACACAAGTGATAACAACTTTGTATTATCATTTATTTCATTTTGTGGGATATGTGGTTTCTTATAATATTTCATATTAGTAGTGTTATTGAGAAATGAACATCTTCTATTTTCATTCTCTCATTGCTATTTTGATCTTTAATTCTATACCTGATTAGAGAGTTAAATGCTCTCCTTTTAAACAACACTCTTTGGTCTTTAACAGCCTCCATATAAGTAATTGTTTTTTATTGACAACATATGCAAATACACCAATGCATATGCCTGTACACATGTATGCACACCCACCAAAAATTGCACTGTGACATTTAATCAATTTTTATTAATACAATAAATGTTTTATCAAATACAGCTTAATTCTAATATAATCATAAAGTTTACAATCATGTATACATGTATATATTTTAAATAAGACAATAAAAACACATTTTAATTAAATACAATGCCTAGAAACTACCATATATTATATCTATCATAATCTTTCATTCATTATCTTGTATATTTCAAGAAATACACAGATGAATTCCCAAGTGATAATATATATAATATCTGTATAGATTTATTTTCTTATCTACTTTTATTATGTATATATAAAATAAACATATATATATTCAAAACATATACAATGATCAGTTTACTTTTTTACTGCTGTAATATGCATTAAAATTAAATCTACTTTTATTATTTCATTGTTCACTTCACTTTTTCAATTTCTAGGGCAGACACAATGGATTTGGATTATAGGAATGCAACAATGAGTTTTGGGGAACAGATCACTCACAATCCCATAAGGAAGCAATGAAGACATAACCAGTGTGATATTAGAATAATACCTTCAGGAGCCAGTTGCTCACGAATTACAAAACAAACATTTAGAAAGAGCTTACAAGAAGGAAGCGAGAAAAGAAAATTTCCTGGAAAAAGTGATGAGGAGTTGACATTAATTAAAGCACAGGGGTGCATTTTACGATTAATCTCAACTTTCTGGGTTTCTTCTAAAAATACATGGACTTGTTCATTTTGAGACTTTTCTAATTGTCAAATTCTCTGCCTAGATACTTCTGCTTCCCTGATTTTTTCTTTAGACAGCAGATTTGAATACCTCAATCAAGGACATCTTGCTCAGGTACATTATATTTAGACAAATTCTCTGGTTTTCTATCCATGTCTTGTAATTTCATGAAGGTTTTTAAGTTTATTATGAATTATTCAAGTGCTTAGTTAATTAATGTCTGGTATGTTAATTATATTATGGTATGCATAGTGTGGAAACTACTGGGCTTGTGATGATTACTAAGTATGTGCAGGTACAAAATCAACCAGTAAAGACTTGATATTTTCCTAGTATAATTAAAATTCTGATTTAAAAATTATAAAAGTGTAATGAGATAAAATTACAAAGGACAGGAAAGTTTTCCATAGACAGGTAGTATCATATATAAATTCAAGAGAAACAGAATGGAGCATAGTAGGTATGGGGAACTACATTTAATGAATGTTTTGCTAGTAAAATCCTCATTTGAATTAAAATGGTTGAAGAATTTATTAGAAATATATTGCACAATATAATTTTATGAAAACAAGCATAGGAAAATATAAACATGGGGAAGTTTTTATTTTTTTATTTTATTTTTTTATCTAAGTCTTTAAAACCAGCATTGATTTTTCAGTTTCTCTAGGGCCTCTTTCACATCCTTGTTCCGCAGGCTGTAAATCAGAGGGTTCAACATGGGAATTACCAGGGTGTAAAACAGTGAGGTCATCTTGTCCTCATCTAGAGAGTAGGAAGAACTTGGCCTGAAGTACATGAAGAGCATGGTGCCCTGGAAAATCGCAACTGCAGTGAAGTGGGAGGTGCAGGTGGAGAAAGCTTTGAACCGTCCCTCAGCAGAGCGGATCTTCAAAACGGATGAGATGATGTAGCAATAAGAGACAAGAACTCCTGAAATGGTACTCAGCTCAAGGAAACCAAAAATGGTGAATAATGCTAACTCATTGATCTGGGTATTTGAGCATGACAGAAATAGCAGAGGGGGGATATCACAGAAGAAATGATTAATCTCATTAGACCCACAGAAGCATAAGCGGAATGTTAACGATGTATGTATCAAAGAATCTGTCATTCCCACCAGGTAAACCCCAGCCATGAGCAGAGAGCACACCCTGCTGGACATGTTGACTGTGTAGAGCAAGGGGTTGCTAATGGCCTTGTAGCGATCAAAGGCCATCACTGCCAGCAGCAGACACTCAGAATCAACAAAGATGCAGGAAATGAAAAACTGCAGAGCACAGCCATAGAAGGGAATTGACCTGTCTGTGGCAAATATGTCCACCAGCATCCTGGGTCCAATTGCAGTGGAGTAGCAGAGGTCACAGAATGAGAGGTGACTGAGGAAAAAGTACATTGGGGTGTGCAGCCGGGAATCCAGTCTAATTAAGATGATCATTCCAAGATTTGCCAGGAGGTTAGTGAGATAGACAAGTAGAAATGTGGTAAATAAAATCAGTTTCATATCAGGATTATTGCTAATTCCCAGGAAAATAAACTTAGAAAACGAAGAACAATTCCCCTGATCCATTCTTCTTTCTCGCTGTCTAAACCTGAGAGAAAATGCTCAAGATAATGATTGATGCATATGTAAGTCCTTCTGGTCATATATCATGTATCTGAATAGTTGAATGTTACTGTTATTTTTATACAAAGAAAGTTACCAGTCATATATATACATATATATATATTTTTAAAATCATTGTCATCCATTTTGACAATAATGGAAAATAAATCTGAAATAGACAATTAAGAAACTTTTATCTAATTCTACATGCATTCATGAGATATGTAATTCTCACTTTAGCTCAATTGATAGTTTAGGGTGAATTGAAACTTCACTTGGTCTTCAAAATGATGCAGAATACATTGATGGTAGAAAGATATGACTGTAGGATATAGAGGTAAGCATTTGCTCTGCCTCTAAATATTCATATCCACACCAAAATGATTAGATTTACTATGTTTGCAAAAAGCATGACTAGCTTAGTTACAGAAATATAGGATACATCATTAACTGATAAAAATGAAAATCCTACATTATTTATCCTGGCCTATTATCTTTAGTATTTAACATAATATAAACTAATTATTACTTACCTTGTATTTATAAATATATCATAGTTTTACTATAATACTCATTATCTGTTTGTAGCAGTGGTTTGGAGCTAAAATATGATATTTTCTTATCATAGAACTGTATTAAAGAAAAGAAATCACAGAATTTAAAATTCTCACATTTGGAGGTCATTAAATTTTAAATGGAATTTTACCTAAAATGAAAATGAATGACAGCAAATGCTTCTTAACTGTATAGGTTTCTCTGTCTTATGATCTTTTCATTTTCATGTGTGCTGTTTCTTATGTGTGTATGTCTCTTTGTTGATGTAGGAACTGAAACATGAATAATTGATATATAGGAATGTTTGAACCACTTAAATAAGGTAATGGCTTACATGAAATTGTTGTATACATACTGTTACTTGTAATGTGGAAGGTCAAATGTTCCATTTAAATTAAAATATCCCTTAGATACATATATATGCTGTAGGTTATTCGTAGTATTCTAATACTGAAGGAAAAGATTTTTGGATATTATATTGGAAATGTGTTAAACTGAATACGCTAGTATAAAATGATTCATTCTCAAATATCTCAATTTTTTTTATTAAAGCTAAGTTCTCTTCCCCCACCTTACATTTTTAAATCTGGAGACGCAGTAACTTACCTGTTGGGCAGTGTTCTTGTATCTGAACCCTAGGTACACAGCATTTTATTTTCCAGGGGACCTGTGAGGCTTTAGTCTCTGAAGCTGCTTCCCTTAGGCTTTGCTGTGATTATTTATGTTTCTGGTACTAATTTTCCCCTGGGAATACACTAACAACATTCGGAAAGTCCTAACTTAAAATTATTACTGCCATCACATTGATCCCTGTTAGGAGTAAAGCTGCTAATTATTTTAAACACTACATATATTAAATATAATCTAAACCCTCCTCCGGTATAAGCAGAAATCTAGTGAAATTCAGCTCCTCACTTAATCAGTTCCGTTATATTGCTCACTTCTGCTTCCTTTTTGAAACCTTCTCCATAGTCTCCCATTAAAACACACTGAGGAATTCACTTTATTTTATTAAAAATTTAATATGCTACACAGTTCATACATTAAGAGTAAATATTTTGGCTTAAACTGTCACCAGTATCTAATTTCAAAATATTTTGCATCTCCTCAATAAGAAATATCCCCACCCCTTTAATGATTACTAAATAATTAATCAGTGTCTGAGACTTTGAGTTTGCCTGCTCAGGACAGCATATGTAAGCAGAATCATATTGTATTGTGTATGCTTTCTCCAGGCTTCCTTCACATGGTATAATGTTTGCAAGATGCATCTATACTGTTGCGTGAGCTGGAATATCTTTTTTTTTTTTTTTACTATTGAACGTTATTTAATTTTACATATATAACACGTTTTGTTATATAATACATTCACTAATTTTTGAGTAGTTTGGCCTCTTGCCACATTTCATGGAATCTAGGATTATATTAAATTCTCTGCACTTGGTACTTTCTTATTTCTTTTGTTGCTTTCTATTAAGAATATTCCTAAAACAGTTAAGGCCTTAGAAATAGAATTTAATTTATAAGTTTATATAGTTCCCAGCAATAAAATTTGCCAAATTAGTTGCTTATTAATAATGGTTAAACATCTTAGGCTATTTCATGTGGTGACTAAAATGAAAATAAACATACTCTGGCTCTGAGAATTAGTTTCTACTAATTCAATATCTATGTGTAAGATTGAATCATCTAAGAATTTTTCAACATATAATAAGTATTCTAATTGATTTCAAAATCCTTTACAAAGCTGTACTAATTAAAACAGCATGATATTGACACTAAAATAATCATTCAGAACTTTGGAAAAGAACAGAGTCCATAAAGAAATCTACCTATCTCCGGTCCACTGTGCTTGACAAAGGTGATACTAATTTTTTCCAAAGTCTATTTTCAGCTAACTTTATATTCATAAGATTAACCATGAGTAAGTCTGTACAAAATCATCACATCTCACAGTGTCAACTTCATATATATATAGATTACCTTTTAGGTACACTGTTAGTTACCCCAGATCATGGAGAACTTATGGTATTTGTCTTTTTGGGACTGGCTTATTCCACTAAGTATGATAATTTCTAGCTACATCTACTTTGTTGCAAATGACAGCATTTCATTTCTTTTACACAATACTTAATCCAGCCTTCAGCTGATGGACATCTGGGTTGATACCAAATCTTAACTATTGTGAATTGGGCTGCAATAAACACGGTAGTACACATCACTCTATCATATACTAATTGTCATTTGAGTGAATTCCAAGTGGGATGACTGGGTCATATTCTAGGTTTATATTCAGATTTCTGTGTATCTCCATACTGTCTTCCACAGTGGCTGCAACAGTTTATATTCTCACCAATGGTGGATTAGGGTACCTTTTTCTCTCCATCTTCATCAGCATTTGTTGCTTGATGATTTTTTTTTTTAAGATTTGTTTTATTTATCTGAAAGAGTTACAAAGAGAGGCAGAGGCAGAGCATTCACTGGTTCACTCCCCAGATGGCTGCAATGGCCAGAGCTGAGCTGATCCGAAGCCAGAAACCAGGAGCTTCTTCTGGGTTCTCTCACATGTGTGCAGGGGCCCAAAGACTTGAGCCATCTTCTACTGCTATCCTAGGCCATAGCAGAGAGCTGGATTGGAAGAGGGGCAGCAGGGACTAGATGGGATGCCAGTGCTTCAGGCCAGGGCATTAACGCGTTGCACACAGCGCCGGCCCAGCTTGTTGATTTCTTTATGAGAGCTATTCTAACTGGAGTGCAGTAAAACCTCATTGTGGTTTAGATTTGCATTTCCCTGATGCCTAGAGATCCTGAGCCTTTTTTTATGTTTCTGTTGGCCATTTGAATTTCCTCTCTTGAAAAATGCCTGTTAAAATTCTTTGCTCATTTCTTAACTGGATTGCTTGTTTCATCACTGTTGAGTTCCTTGAGCTCTGTATGCATTCTGGATATTAATCCTTTATCAGTTGCTTCATTTGCAAGTATTTTCTCCCATTCTGTATGTTCCCTCTTCACTTTGCTGAGTGTTTCTTTCGCAGTGTGAAAGCTTCTCAGCTTGATGTAATCCGTAATCTTGTCTTTCAACTTTGGCTTTGATTGCCTGTGCTTCTGGGCTCTTTTCCAAGAAGTATTTGCCTATGCCAATATCTTGCAAATTTTCTCCAGTTCTCTCTAGTAATTTGATGATACCAGGTTGTAGTTATAGGTTTTTGATCCATTTTGAGTGTTTTGTTGTTGTTGTTGTTTAAGGTGTAAGTTGAGGCTCTCTTTTCATATTTCTGCACATGAAGATCCAGTTTTCCACCATTTGTTGAAGAGCACCATTTATTGAAGAGACTGTCCTTGCTTCAGGGTATGATTTTAGCTACTCTGTCAAAGATAAGGTGGTTGTATTGCGTAGGTTGACTTCTATTCTGTTTCTATACTGTTCCATTGATCTACACATCTATATTTTTGCCAGTACCAGGCTGTTTTGATTATAACTGCCGTGCAGTATGTCTTGAGATCTGATATAGTAACTCCCCAGCTTTCTATAAGATTGCTTTAGCTATTCAGGGTCTCTTGTATTTCCATATGACTTTCAGCATCATTTTTTCCTTGATTTGAGAAGCATGTTCTTGGTATTTTGATTGGGATTACATTGCCTCTGTATGCTGTTTGTGGTATGGATATTTTGATGATATTGATTCTTCCAATCAATCAACATGGAAGATTTTTCTACTTTTTATGTCTTCTATTTCTTTCATTAATGTTTTGTAATTTTTATCATAGACAACTTTGACTTTTTTGGCTTAATGATTCCAAAGTATTTAATATTTTATAGCTATTTTGGATGGGATTGATCTTATTAGTTCTTTCTCAGCGATGGCATTGTCTGCATATGCTAAAGCTACTGATTTTTGTTTACTTGTATATCCTGCAACTTTACAAAACTCTTTTATGAGTTCTAATAGTCTCCTAGTGGTGTCTTTTGGGTCCCCTTTATATAGAAACATGTCATCTGCAAAGAGGAATAGTTTGACTTCCTTCTTCCCAATTTGTGTCCTTTTCATAATGGCTCTGGAGAAAACTTCCAGGACTATATTTATAGCAATGGTGAGAGTGGGTGTCCTTGTGTGATTCTTGATCTTAGTGGGAATGAATATTCTTTCAGTACCCAGAGACCAATTAGGTAGTAGCTAATCAAGACATAACTGGATAGGTCACATATTTACAAAGCAAAGATGAACATGCACAACTTTTCCTTTCCTTCTTTGTTTCTAGCTACCTCCAAATGTCTCAGGGACGCTAAGCTCCCTGTGCTCTTTTCTGTGCTTTTATTCCCACCCCCTTTTTATTGTTTACTCCACTGGGACACTGCAGGTTCATCAATGGTCCCCTGAGTTCTGATAAGACTAATACCATTCCTGGATAATTGTATGTTGTTTTCCCTG